GAATAAGGCTTGTTGTATTGGGCGGCAGAAATACTAGTTGAACATTTGGATGTTCTAATTGTGGATGACTTGCTGCATTGTCAACAATTAATAAAACTTTAAAATCGAGAGATTTTTCCTTCATATAGGCTTCCACTTCTGGTACGAAACAATTATTGAACCATTCTGTAAAAAAAGCTGTTGTCATCCAGGTTTTCGGGTTAGCCATCCAATGCACGGGCAGTTGTTTTAAATCTTTACCTTTAAGGGTGCGTGGTCTAAGAGATTTATTTATTAAGAGAGGTTTCAACATCCGATCTCCTAATGCATTGCTACAAAGTAATAAGGTGACTCGATCTTTATTTTCTTTATGCCCACTTGCAGTTTTTTCATCCTTTGCGATGTAAGTATGGTTAGGCAATCTTTTCCAATAAAGTCCTGTTTCATCAGCGTTAAATACTTGATCGGCAGAATAGACCCCATCTTCAATAATTTTCGCTAGCTTCTCTGGAATTATTTTTGCTGCTCCTTCATCTGCTGTCGCACTCTCCCCTGTTATTTTAATATAATGAAGTGCATTTCTTTTTAAGAACTCGGTTAGTCATCCTTTGCTAGCTGAAAATTCTTTTCCAGCTTGGGAAGTGGAAGTTGATGGTTCTGACTGTTTCATTGACTTATATAAAACTGAAGAGCTTTTTCTAGGATTAAATAACCACTTACAGGAATCCTTCTTTGAACTTGTTCCTCAATCCAAATTGCGATGGCTCTTTCCGTTCTTTCTAATAATACATCCTTCGTGTACGATGCAAATTTGGTGCTTAAGGGTGTTGGAAAGCTAAAATCTTATTTTTTGACAATTTAAGATTTTTACATTTTCAAATTGTATAGATTTTAACCTTTTTAAAAATACCTTACTTTAACCACTAAGGTATTTAGAAGCCCTTAAAACGTATTTTGAAATAATCGTTGAATTTGGGCCACGCCCATTTTAATGGCGAAATTTGTAAACAAATTACTTTGTTTTTGCTTAAAAGTGTACCGACTGATATAAACCAAAACATGTATTGTTTATTTTAAATTGAGCCTTTTATTTTTTTATTTCCTTGCCAATTAGAAGTCTCACTGTATACATTAAAATCAATTTATCTCAAAATGTAAATTTTAATGTGCGATGTACCTTTTCTGAGAAACTACTGTTCACAGGTATGTAAATTTCTTATGAATTATTTTTAATGATGTCTAATATATACTAAAATGAGCTTTTTGTAAAAAACTCAAAAATTTAATTTTTACAAATTTTTTAAGTAAAAAATGGGTCAAATTTTGCAATGTTTGATAAAATATTTCATAATTTATTAAAAAATTTAAAAGTAGCTAAAAGCTCATTTTAGTATAATGAGAGAGATGTACTTTAATAGTATGAAAAATTTAAAGCATGTACATAAAACAGATTTTGAGAAAAGGTACATCGAAAAAAAGCCAATTTAACATTGTCAGTATAGAGAGAGAGAGTTTCCAACTCCTCTTAATTTTTTGTACCAGAAATGACCGATTTTCTTATTGCAGGTTCATTCTTTTAATTTCTCTGACAGTAGATTCGCCTAAATTAAGATGTTTTCCAATAGCCGTAGATCCTTCTCCTTTTCCTAAGCGATCTAAAATTGCAATTTTTTCATTTCCAACGAAATTGACTGTCTTTTATGTTTTTTTTTTTTTTTCTCCATTGGGCCAAATAAAATCTTAGAAAAGAAATTTTAAAAAATTACACTTGCGATTTTCTAATGAAAAATAAAACTTTACGGCACTCCCCTTAAGTCCAGAAATCAAAATTTGCTGCTTATTATATTGCAACTTAAATTCGCCACTTATTAAAGTGAAACTTTTATAAAAATGAACGAGGCACCGCTAAGAGAAAATATAATTTCGAAATAATGATATCGTATCGGTATACTACTGAAATACTACTGAAATAACGAATGCGAATCTAAGACTGTCGCAGCCGAGCCGCTGACGTAAGCACCAAAATGATACGGAAATTCTCGGAATACTACGATCTACGTCTCAGTATAAAAAATAATAAAAATAACAAAATCTATATTTATATATATATATATATATACAAATGTTTGGAATACAAACCGCAAATGTTTGAAATACAAACCGCACAACTTCAAAATCGCATAAAAACAATCCGCATAAAAAGAGACCTGACTGTACATATATTTATATATTTATATATATATATATATATATATAATATGGCCATATATATTCAACGCCACTATATATATACATATATTTATATATATATATACATATATTTATATATATATATACATATATTTATATCATATATTTGATATATATATATATGCTATCATATATTTATTGCTCGTCCACATATATAAAGGATATACATATATTTATATATATAGATTGATACATATATACGATCATAGCTATTATATACGCCAAGGCGAAGCTCGCAGATACGTGGACGATATTTTAACGCCGTTGTACTACCCATGCTATACATATATTTATATAAGACCAGGATCTATATATATATAAAATGATATTTTGTTCATATTTTTTCATATTTATATTTCGTGAATATATATATTTTTGCGACATATATTTATATATATATTTATATATATATATATATATTTATATTTATATATATATATATACATATATTTATATATATATATACATATATATATATATATATATTTTATATATATATATATATATATACATATATTTATATATATATATATATATATATACATATATTTATATATATATATATATACATATATTTATATATATATATATACATATATTTATATATATATATATATACATATATTTATATATATATATATATATATATATATATATATATATATATATATATATAATATTTCTATTATATTTCTGGAAATTGATAAAACTAATTGTAAGACATGGCGAGTGGATGTTATTAAATAATGGAGAACAAAAGGTAGGGCTCGGCCGGTGGTGTGATGATTGTTTTCAGTGGAGCGTGGTCGAGTACGATATTATCGAAGAAGCACTCATGTAAATCGTTATTCCTCTTTATTTACATCCGGAAACACATAAAAATCCAGTAGGGATGGCATTACACATGCATGAAGCAAACATCACAGCACAAACACAGACAAAGAAACTACAGCACAAAGTAGCCCGCTACATAACTACAGAGAAACGAGCGAAGAGACAGAGAGAGAGAGAGCGAGATTTCCAGAAATATCGTTTCTTTTACTCGACGTTGAAGACCACGTGACATTTTTGTAATAAGAGCTCTTATTGGTTACAATGGGCAGGAAATGGATTTATGATGTCATATTATATTAGTCGATTACGATTAAGATCAGGGTGTTAGTTTCGACCCAAATAATTAAAAGATTATTTGAATATTATTAAAAGAGTTAATTAAAAGGATGCTAGGGGGAATTATTATATATATATATATATTACTTGTGAAAATATTTCTCTCTCTCTTTCAGAAATTACTATTATTTTTACATTTAAATCAAGTAAAATATATTAGGTCTCAAGTTGTTTTTGAATTTTCAACAAAATATATATTCCTAGTTAAATTTAAATTAAACCGTGAAAATGTTTTCATAAATGAAAAAACCCTTCTTTCTTACGAGGCATTGGTTGTGAAATAGTTAATATTGTTCTTAAGAAGTATGTGAACAATTTGAAGAAGGTACATCAAGTACTCCTGAAAGTTACAGCAAACATTCCTTCTTTCCTAAATTTACTTTTTATGCTCCATCGCTGAAATCTTTACTTTAGAGTTTAGTAAGTGAAGGTATATTGAAAGTTATTTGTAGATAACACTGTAAAAACAAATGAATAGTAACTAGCATAAAAATGGCTGTCATTGTCTCTATAGTGAGTACGACTCAATGGATTTATCGCATTTGTATCAATTTTATTTGTTTGAAAGCTTTGCATTTTCATATTTATTTGATATTTATGACTGAATTTTAGTGAGGAAAAAAAGGTATTTATAATGAAAATGTTTTCCTCAAATTATAATTTTGAAGGAAAAAAATATATATTTTCATTCGTAATTTTCAGTGTGATTTTGAATGGGGCTTTTCGATATGTGTCTAATTCATCAATGATTTACTTGTTTATTCTGGTTAAAAATGCTCAATAGATAAATTAAAAATTTCGATTATAACTTCAGTTATTTATTCTTTACCAGAATAATTATATTTGATGAAGAATTTTGCTGGTAATGTAACTAGAAATAAATAAACAAAATGTAGAAAGCCTGTCAAAAATGAGTTTTGAGAATTCCAGTTATAAAGTTCATGCAATTATCTTATTTCTTTTCCAAGCACATGGACAATTTAGTTTAATTTTAAAAATAATTCTCATAGAAAAAACAAGTAATATAAAAAGAAAGAAATTAAACCAATTCCTACTTAGGTCAACAAAGAAAAATTTTACCTTACTTACTTTTTATTAAATATAGTTACACTTAATATATATATGAACACACTTACGACAGAATCACAGTATTAAATGACAAAATAAAAAGGTATTTTCCATTTTACTTTCTATATATGGTGTTGGACTATTTTTTTGTTTGTTACTATTGTTGTAGCTCCAGTCGAATCTGGTTACTCATACTCAGTGATTTCACGTTTAAGTTTAGGTAAGAATGGAGTTACTCAGCCCTACTCAAAACCATTCCCTTCTAAACTCTTCTTTACACACTTTTTAAAATATACTATTATTATATGCTTATTAAGATGCTTAGTAATATGGTAACTCGCAACAGGCCACATACCTTCTTTCACTGTCTCACTCTCGAGTGTGTGGGTATAAAAATCGTTACATCTTTACATTCCCCGCGTTTTCACAGCGCTCTCTACAATTGAACTCTAGCACTATTTATTCATTAATTAAATTTCATTATTCTAATAAAATAGTTCAGTAAAATAATATCACATTCTCAGAAATAAGGCCATTTCAGGTGGGATTCGAACCCACGACCTTTGGATTAGAAGTCCAACGCACACACACGATTCATTGCGCTACAGGAACACAACGAACAACTGTCCTTTCTATATATGCTGTTGGGCTATTAATTTTGTTTTTGTACTTTTTGTTTATTTTTTAATTTAATTGATGAAATAATATTAGAGAAAAATGTCTAGACATCAAGTGCCATCCACTACAACTTTAAAAAATGCATTTGAACATGGATGGATGTATAGAAAGTATTTTATTAACGATTGAAAATTTGAGCAAGTTATATATATATATATATATATATATATATATATATATATATATATATATATATATATATATATATATATATAGGGAACTAGTAAACTAATAATAGCAATTGAAAAACCAAATTCTAGAAATCATCATTAACAAATGAATATATTTATATTTTTAAGGTATATCAAGATTTGAATCATCCATAAAGATTACATTAAAAACAAATATTTGAGATTCGCTATGTTAAAACTATAAAAATAATTTTCAATAAAGATCCAGATTGCAAGCTTTAATGCTATTTCTCTATGAATATTCTCATCTTATACAATTCTTTCGAAATCTGAATTATCAATTAAATACATTTTTCGAATTAATGTACGTATCATAAAAGAGATATATTGCAATCTATTACATTTGATGTATGTTGAAAAAAAGAGAGGTGGTTACAACAAACTTTTATTATCTGCAGTTAAAAATAATGTTAGAATCAATAACATCGTCTGGAATCTATCAACAGCAGTTTTTTTTTAAATCTTATACCGTCATCTATTTTACAAAACTACAAACTAATTCATTCGACCAACGATGAATAAATTTTTGCTAGATATATTTCTACGTCACAACAGTTGCAATATTTGTATCTCATTTGGTATTTTCTATCAAAATCGGCTTAAAATTGAAAGTATGTTTTATTTATTGCATCTAAATTCTTAGGAGTCTGTATGGTAGAAATTATAATAAAAATTGAAAAGCGTAAGAATCCAGCGCAGTTTATCATAGGTTTGAGAAGATCAATACTTTTCGAATAATTATTTTTTGAATGTAAAAGAACATTCCATGAAAGGATGTGACGTTGCAGTGCAAAGATTTCTCTAAGAATTCTTGCTAAATCGATTAGAAATAAGAACCAACTGCCTTTTTAGAGAAAAAAAATAATGCAATACTAGTATTTTCTTTCAACTTTAACAAGTATTGAAAAAAACGCAGTAGAAGGAAGGAATATTTTTGAAAAAAATGAAAAAATGAAAAAAAAAAAAAGTCAGAAGGTTTGGCATAAGAAATGATTAACTATTGTTTTGATTCTGGCTGGAATAGAAGGATTTGATGACTTGAAGAAAATATATAAAAAAAAGAAACATGCAAATTTAAAGGAGTGTAGAAAGATTCAAAGGATTAAAGTGAAAAAAGATGGAAAAATGATTTGAAATTCATGTGAATTTTGGACAAAATCTATTATTTCTTTTACCGGAAAAATAACATGCGCAAATGAAGAAATTTAAGAACCAGGAAGGGAATACTTAAAAAATAAAATTAAGAAAATCGTATTGAAAACTGCTTAATCTCTGATGTTGACTAGAATACAAATCAAAATTGTTGATGGAAAAAAAAATTGAATTCAATACAAAGAGAAGGAGGGAAGAGGGGGATGGGGAGGGAAGGGGTACGAATGCTTCTCGGGTTTATTTTTCAAAGAATATACAATGATTTAGAAAGCATTTCCGGGAAAAATCACAAATTCGTCGTTCAGGATTAATTATTCAGCATTAGATTCCCAAAGTAAAATATTTTCTTAGAGACGGTGAATAATTTTAAATATTATGGATTGTGGAGGGAAAAGAAATGACGAAAGAAGAAACACACACATATATGTATGCACTTGTGAAATTGAAAATTCTGAGATGAATCATTTTAGCTTTTTGTAAACAAGCTTCGACTAAATCGACTTAAATGGTAATAAGTTGTTGTAAAATGATAATGCATTGCTAAGAAAAATATAAATACTTCCAGAGATAAAAATTTCTTCGGTAACAAATAAGGGATACATTTAATCTTCGAAGTAACATTTTTGCAAGCATTTGACACTAAATTCTCATCCTGTAGGAAGTAGTAGCTTGAGAAACTTTTTCATTAGTGAATTTTTATGCGAAAATAAAAATAAGAATTTTATTTTTTTAATTAATTTAGTAAAATATAAGAAATGTCACTATTGTATCTATATATTTTAAAGGGTGCAATAATTAACAAGTGATATTTTTCCGATTTTTACTTACTCTTAAATTCCAAAATAAGTAACAATGATGCTAATTGCTTTAGTCTCAATATACAGTCGTTTATGAATAAGTATTTTAGATTAAAGCTTTTTCTAATTTGTGTGTTTGTGCTGCTTGAAAGCTAAGTAATGAACCTAAGGCACACGTACAAATGTCATAATTATAAAAAAAAAATTATATATATATATATATATATATATATATATATATATATATATAAGAAAAGTATTTTCTTTTAAAGTAAAATTTTTTTCATATTCGCAAAGAATTTAATCAATAATTATTCTCTTAAAAAATAGTAAAAAGAGCAAAGTAATTGATTGCATTCTTTTAAATTTTTAAGAAACCGCTATGTTAGGTGTAACTTAAAATAACATCGAGAGCCAGATTATTTTGTTACAAAAAATAAAAGCATATGCACACATTAGCTAAAAAAAGGTATACAGGAATCTAATAACAGAATTGTACTGTATTGCAGTCTATTATTCTTGAATAAGGAGCATAAGTTTTTTTTCTGGTACCTTTTGTATTTCGAGTTTCGTGCGATCTAATGTATAGTAATAAGTTCTTGAGCTCTGGGATTGGGCGGGTGGGGAGCCACTTTAATTGCATTCAAGCTTCTTTTATTTCTGTTATTTGGGTATTATTGAACGATTTAAAATAATAGATGGTGCAAAAGCAATTATAACTAAAACATTTGCATAATCTGATGAGTGAAAAATACTAATCATGAAAATATTACAGAATAATAAATAAAAGCTAAATTATCATAGTTATTCCTTAATATATTTCCATTTTAACTTTAGTGTTATTTGATTTTAAAGTACATCAAACTCTGGAGTAACATGAGAGCTTTGATGAAGGTTCTCGTAATTTTTAATCATGGTCAGGTGACGAGGACGACACCCCTGAGCTTGAAACCTCTCTCAAAACTACCACACCATACCAATGGGAGGAATATGAGCCTCTTCAACGTGCGTCACCCTGTTAATGCCCTGTCACCCCGTCACGTCTTTAGTGGTCATATAACTCGAATCCGTGATTCGATAACCCTGGCTACTAGTTCGCGACCATGAACTCTCAGCCTTTTAACCTCATAGAGCAGTGGTTTCCAAACTTTTTCGACTCACGGAACCTTCAGAACTATAAAGTGTTTTCGGGGAACTCCAGTCCCTTCCCCCTTAAGGCCTTATCACAAGTACACGTTTCGAGCAATTTTTCGTCCAATTCGTGCAATTTTTTTTCTAGTTGCCATAGCAATGTCTTTTGAACAACATTTTGCTAGTGAGCTCAAAAAGTTGTTCCAAATAAAAGTTGCTTGAAATTCCAGCCAATGGGGTTCTTCGGCGCCCTACGTCATAGGCAGCTTCGATTTCGTCAAATGCATCAGATATGGAGTATTATATGGAATATTTTAACGGCGTTTTATATTTTAAATAGAATGGTGTTCCATTTCTATTCACGCCTATCAACAAAAGCGCGAGCGAAATAAAAGAAATAATTTTGGATGTTCGTTTTCCGAAGCTGAAAAATCGGCGAGTAATTTTTCAATGTGGAGATAGAGCGCGGCTGACGTCAGAGCATCTCGTTCTGTTTACAGCAACCCTTTTCCCTCAGATAAGGCAAAAAATTAGACGAAAAAATTGCACGGTAAATATACGTGTGATACGGCCTTTAGAAGAATATTTTCTTAGATAACACAGTAAAACATGTTTAAGTGCGGTATATAGGGACCGCATATAAAAATTCGCTCAAAAAATTTGCGAAAAACATTTCATAAATACTTATATATAACAACTTTGTCCACATACTACAGAATTTTTTTTAATGCAGTGGAGAGGGAACGAAAAAAAATGTCGCACTTAAAAAAATGTCAATTATTTACGAAATTTATCATAAAGTACTTCCAAACAAAATAAATAATTAAATTTCACACGGATAAAATTTTAAAAACATTTAATTTCTTATTGCTAATTTTCATAAAATGCTTTTGCATAATTCACTGCTACTCATCGTAATCCAAAGCGTATGTCCCTGTGATGAATTGTGGACACGGTAGCTTAGTGATCAAGGTACCGGATTGTTGCTGGCTTGTCATGAGTTCGAGCCCAGAACCATTATGGACCCGTCGTGTAGGGGAGCTATGCGCGTAAAATTTGTCGAGCTCAAACTTTATCCCGTTGGTGTGGTGTGGTAGTTAGTAGAGGAGGGTACCAGCTCAGGTGTCGTCCTCGTCACTTGATCATGGTTCAAAATTACGAGGTCCGTCGCCAAAAGCCGTCGTGTAGCTTAACACAGTGCGACGTTAATAATCATTCCCCCTGTGATGATTTAGTTCAAAATCGCTTTCGTCACTTGAAGATACAATTTCAGTTGATTTATTGTTTGGCATCATTAAGTAAGTGATAAGTTTTTGTGACTACGATTGGTTGGTTAGTTGCTTGTGAACGTCACGATAACTCATTTCATAACTGGTATTTACTGTAAGAAAACGCTTTTCTGATTTGGTGGAAACTGGATCCCTGCATATATTTTATCCACTTTCAAAGAGAATCTGGTTCTTCTTATCCGTCTTCATAATCTATCAAATTATTGATAATCTCGCGGTCACTAAAAGTTTCGTCGTCCAAAGTACGTGCTGCTAGTGCGTTGAGAGCAAGCAATTGAACGTGCATTGCCGAGAGACCAATGAACAAAGCGTCATGAAGTGTGTGTATGTACATTGATATAAAGCATTACAGTGGCGTCAAAGCTATTAAAATT